TAGTATAACAGTAGCAGTGTAGTATAACAGTAGCAGTGTAGTATAACAGTAGCAGTGTAGTATAACAGTAGCAGCAACAGTCACATTAAGCTACAGAGGAGTAATGTCTGTACTAGCACTTGTTTATAACTCCGTAGTTCCCATAGCACTTGTTATTAGCAATTTATTTGTTATGCATTTGTCTTGTTGTTATAGCTGTTACCATTATAATTATGTAAATAAGATCGATATTTATGTATTATTTACAGGTGTACAAATATAATGTTACTGATGCCTATTTTAATCGATGTGCCTATTTTTTACTATATAACTTAAAGAGTTAACTTTCTACATTTCTAAATCTACGCATGAGTATTATTTCATCAGCACAGTATTATTTTATTAGCACTAAAAGTGATTTTAGTGATAAATTAGGATTTTTAGTAAATCAACTAGTTCCAGATGAAAAGCGAATAAATAGTGTAAAAATACTCAGATGTTTGCTGGAGATTATTTAAACTGACTAAAATATAAACAGTGGAGCTGATTATGCCTTTATCATCTAAAATGCAGTTCTGCACTTTTGTTATGGTTAGACATTGCGCTTTTGTGCCATGGTCTTTCCATTTTCCCCTCTACAAGTGAAATCCAGTTTGAAAACTTCACAGTAATCCTGGGTATTAAATGTTAGTGATGTGTTCTTGAAAGTGGTGTGTTCGCTAATTATTTTCTCTAACACGAGAATTCTTACATCAACTTTCATAATATAAATGAAGATACATTCCTTTTGAATTTTTTGACACGATATGTAATATAACCTTTCTTATGAATGAAAATAAACAGTTTTAAGCACATACATTAATTAACATATGATATACTATGATAATATATATACAAAAGACATGGCTTTAACTCACTTTTGTTATAAGTAACTATGAAACCTATACCTAATGGTTCTGACTAAGAGGTTCTACTCAATAAAGCTTTTAGAGCAGATTAGCAAATAAACAAATAAACCAATCTGGTACTTTAGAACATTGTGCGTACCTGCTTGTTACAATATAAAAGGTAGATGACAGGATGAGGTCAATTACACCATGTATAATTTTGACGTAAGAAAGATATCCTATTTTACATATGCTAAGAGGGCTCAAACAACCATTTTATTATGATAGTGTCTAGATGTGCCTATGATTTGACTTACAATTTGTTATGCATGGTGGTGTTACACAGAATAAATCTATAAAATCACGAAATAAATGTTTCTTTTGACTACGATTGGACAGTGTATGCAGAATCCAAGCACTTTCCAAAGTGATTATCAATTCATTACTACGCAGTGAAAGCGTTACAAACAAGAACGCATGCATGCCTACGTCATCCCACAGTGAAACCAGTTCGTAGTAAAACGGCTTATATGGTGCTGTTAGACGACCCCCTGCTGTGAGGGCATGTCAGATGATTCCGTCTCACTCACACGGACCCACGATGAGTCGGTCACAGTAGCTGGGTTCTCTGGCCCTATGAAGGTGATTGCGCTTGGTCGGTTGCCAGGTGTGAGGTACCTGCAACAGATCGGATAGCTACCATGAGCCGACGGCAATGTGCAACATGAGTGAAGGCAAACTTTGCATTCACATGAATAATGGGTTTCAATATCACACGTTATGTAATAATTGAAGTATGTTTGATGTATTTTGATATGATTGTTAATATGCTGATAATATAATAGTGTTTGTTTTTGGAAATAGTTATTAGCAATAAAGTGAGGAAGTGTGGTAAATGAAGTACACAAAGACTAACAACACATTGCTGGTTGGTTAAGGGAAATTTATGGTAAAGGTATTGAGACCGATAAGATGTGCACGTCCACTACAACAGAAAATAGACCTTTGTATCAGTGGAAGACCGATCAAATCTCATGACTTAGCAAGCTGAAAAATATAAATGTACTGACACTCAATTTATTGCAGTGTTTCATACAGCATGAACTGACCTGTGTGCTGCTTGTATAATGTCATTTTTCTGAACATCAAAAAACTGTTCGCGATGCACTTGCTTAGCTTCGTCAGTTAGTGCCTGCAGAAACAGGTCTACACCTTTCTCACCAGGCGATATGGGCCCGTCAACCTACCAAACACAAGTAATAAGATAAAGTGATTTATTTGAAATATGGCGGAGATACGAAATCCTAGCTACTAGTGACGAATTTATATTCCTGTCAGATAATAAGCTAAGCACTTGAAAATCTATAATAACCAAGTCCTGTGATTTATACATTAATTTGTATTAACAACCAAGCAAAATTTCAGTGCAATAAAATATAGATGGAAATAAGTTACTAAGCAATGCCAATAACTCAAAATATCCATGCTGTCAAATAAAATGATAAAGTCAGCTTTTACAGCTTTTAGCCATGTATATCTTTGGAGAACTTAGATTATCAACAACTGTATTAGCAAATTTGTTTCGCACCCCTTGAAAGACGAAGAGCTTTGCTTCATTGACATCACTGTCAGAGAATTGCCCACTCCTGGCCCAATCTGCAGACTTGTCAAACTGTTCTAATGTCTGCATGACGTGTGGGTCTCTGTATGAGTAGTAGGTGAGAAGTCCACCTCCCATATTTGCCCCTCCACCATAGGCTCCCCCTTTCTCCCTGTGAACAGGCACAGAACTAATATTACCTACCATACGGAGAAAATTGTCAGTGCACCTGTGGCAAATCAAAGTCAATGAAACAGATGACCTGAGCATTATGCACAAACATTTTACACTTCAGAATTTGGCTATGTCTGTCTAAACACTATTTGTATACACTATAATCATATGATTCCCATGACTATTAGAAACACCACATAATAATTTACAATTCTAGCACCATTGTGGGGGTGTTTACAGTTGTACCTGATTTCCTTGTGTAGGTACTTCCACTTCAGCAGGGTCGCAAGTACAGATAGAACAGCAGAGTCAGGATGTGTGTAGGGCACTGTCTCCAAACACTTGCTAACGTAATTCACAGGGAAGGGTAGCTCAACATGAGTCTTCTCGCAAGTCGCTGTGAAGTCGCTCTTCTAAGGATGCACACATTAGTTACTTGCTTACAGATATTAGAGCAAATATATTTACATACATCATTATTTAATCAAATATTTAATCCATCTGAGTAAGCTTCTAATTTTTTATGAATATTTTTATAGCTACCTCAAATCCGTAATGACACGTTAATGACATTCAGTATTGTTGCCAATTCACGAAGCGACATTCACATGTCGCTACCAAACAACAGATCATGGTAAAGATCGCACAGACAACTTCAGTAATTCTGGATGTAACATACAGTATACACAAGGTTACAAACATAATAACGTGTCAAACTCATATACACTGAACAAGAAACCAGGTTGAGTGGAAGGTAGCTTTACCTGGATTAGAATTCGTCCAGCACCCCGAGAGCTGCCAGACAGAGATGCGAGGAATGTCTCCAAGTGATTGACACTCTTCTGTGCATGTTCTGGGCTTGCATTAATGGAACATCTGAGGATGAATAATGAACGTGTTGCATAAACCCTGCACTCTAAAAAGTGGTGAATATACTCCATAATCATGTAAATCTCTGTGTAGGCAGATACAAGTAAAAAGAAATTCCTATAGTTGATGGCAATAAAATGCTTATAACATTTCAAATTTTCTATGAACACATTCAGAATTTACTGAAGTCTTTCAGCCAATTAATTATTGACTGAAGCATGGGTTCAAACTGCATAGTACCGGATGCTATTCTTGTTGAGTAGTTGCTTGGCAATGAGAGCAAGTTTCTCCAGGACAGGTGAGACATCCTGCATCTCGGCAATTTGCTTCATATGCCTCACCTGATAATATGACACGTTTCAATGATCTTGTCCTCTATCAGGAGTTATCCTGTGTTAACTTATCAAACACCCAACATGATGATGCACAGGGAAATAATCACACTTGGTGGTCAATCTCACCTGTGCATTCCAGGTTACGATTGCTTATATTTATGAGAAGTCCTATTAATTGAGTAATTATGCTAATCTCGTTTACACATTATTGTAAGCATATGAGCAAGTACAAAAGAAATTATAGATGATTAAACCAACCATTGAATGCCGCCTTTACCATAACCCTCATTACTTTACCTTTGATATTTTATTTTATCTTAAAGTCCAGTCGTCCCACACCAACCACAGGGCTTACGTTCTCAAAAGGGCCGGTTAGTAAAAATGCAGTTGGCAGGGACAGGGCCTTAATATAAAAAGGCAGAACTGTGTTCCACAAATGCTGTCACGTAATCTACTCAGTAACAATATAATATAGAATTTGGAAGTAGTATTCCTTTTAATATTTAAGTTTACAATGAAAAATATCATGATATGGCTGGAGAGTGACGACGCTGGTAAATACTTAAATGCTAGAGTTTAGTAGCTGACAACCACAACTGTAAATTGGGAAAGGAGGAAAGAAAACGGTAGTGGTGGAAGGCTGAAGCAGCAACGATTGCACGATTTGCAAGGGACATACGATTTCCACCCCGTTTCTCAGTGTTCAATGATCTATGGGCAAGTATACATACCTGAGAAATTCCACCAAGCCTCTCCTTCATATGAGCCGCAGGCGTTAAGAAGCTGCTGGCATGCGTCATGGCATAGCTGTGGCCGCTCTGTGCCACGCTCATTGCCAGCTCATTGGCAGCCATTTTTACTAGAGTTGAAAGCCGATCTATGGCTGTCAATTTCACCCTTGGTGATCACAAACAAAAAGACATGTAGAATTAGATATTAATCATTGGTATCACAGGCACGCACTTTACAAGCAAGAGCTTGCCCCTATATTCAAAACCTTATTGGTTACCAAAAAAGCCGCTTTTTATATTTGAGCGCATACCTGATCCATACATTCATATATTACCCAGTAATGTAAAGCAATAGATGTTGAAGAATGAAATAAATATGATTAAGCAAAATGGACACAATTTAAAACATGAAAAACTGCATGATCAAATTGTTTGTATCACCGATAAGAAAAGTACATAAATTACCACCAATGTCACTAACCCATTAAAGATTTCCGACCAAATGGAAAACATATCACTTGTGTTTCTGTCAAGGCAGTATGAGGAGAATAGGATGCCCTAAAATGTGGAAGAAAATCTGATTGAACGTACTCTAGTTACATTAATTTTGTATAAAAATATGCACATTGATACAATAGCATGGCACAGTAAGATGTAGCATTATAAACACCCTTTCACTTCATTAATCAATTGTAATGGTATACAGTTCTGGCAATGTACATGGACATGATCAATAATATCAACAGCACCTGTAATGTATGTTTCATGTTATACATATATATGATAGCAGCATGAAACACAATATTATTAATACTACTAACTATTATTCACCAATTATAATACTAATTATAATAACAAAACTGCAATATAGAACACAATATAAATACTCACCTGCTCATAGCTAAGAGGGTCAGTGTGACTGTTCGTTACAAGGCTGGCCGCAGACATCCCACCAGTTTTCAGTTGTATCTCCTGGCTCAACTCCCGGAAATCCATCTGACCCGCTCCCATTCTTGAATTAAAGACAACGATTTTACTATTGGTGCACACAATACAAAAATCAACAATTAGCATAAATGTGCTAGTTAGTAAAGTGCTGATATGCAGAAAACATGATCAGCTTTTGCATTTTCTCATAGAATATGACCTACTGAGCCAGAACATTGCAGAATATTGGCAAATATGGCAACAGTGCTGTATCAAGATTGCTAGCATCGGCAACTGCTTTGAAGTACGTCACTCCATTAGTGGGCTGCTCACATAGCTGTACTGGTACATTTACTGCAACAAATAATGCATAGCATAAATGTCTTACATATAATAAATTTGTAACGCCAACAATTATTCATCAGATATAAATATCATAGCTAATGTGCCAAACTGCATGTTACCATGACCATGAGAATATTACATGTATTTTTTCTTCCTCATTTCTGGTTAGTAGAATTTTAAGAATGTTAGAATGTTATGAAGAAAATTAAGTGCGATTTGCCAACTTGCAGCTTTGCATCACTGTGTACATAGGTATAACCACATCCATTGAGATCTATTGATTAATACACACATGGCGTGCTATGTGAGACTTGTATAAACTCTCCTCTCTTCTCGATGTCGGAAATCCTTAGTGTTGGCAGACAAGAAAGGTCTTCAGGCTCATTCTGCTTCTCTGCTAACTCCAGGCCTGTGCATAAATGAGAAAAGACTTCTAGTTTAAAAAAATCAGGAACCTCCACCCACACTAATTAAATCAACTCACCACCATACTATTAACATAACAAGTGCCGCAGTGCGACAGGGCTCATCTGGTGTCTGGTGTGCTGCTGATAAATTCATTTGTGCATAGCAAGACGTCTTATACATAAGTCTTCTTTAGTCTTGTTTGACTTTCGTAGCCAATTCGAAGAAATATCAGCTACACTTTCGCACCCACCTAATCTCTATGGGCTAATTATAATAACAAGAACAATAATAACAATTCAAATACAAGTTAATGAATGACATTGACGTTGACATAAAAGATTTCAACATATGAGCATGGATCTCCAAGTTTAATTAGAGGGGGCGGGGGGTCCTTCTCTCCCACCTCCCTCCCCACTGCATCCCACCTCCCTCCCTCCTGCCTCTCACCTCTCTCCCCCTGCCTCCCACTTCACTCCTCTTGCCTCTCACTTCCACCCCCTTACCTCCCATCTCCCTCCCCTTGCCTCCCACCTCCCATCCCCTTGCACACCATCTCGCACGACCTAATTGTACCCCGTTTCCTGCTCGCATACACACCGTATCACCGTTTTCCTGTCCCCGTCTCAATTTACTACGCTCTCTCTCTCTCTTTATCTTAGACTTTCTCTCTCTCTTAATTATATAAAAAAATGTAAAAACCCAGCGATGATGCCTTTTACTGCCCCCTCAATAATACTTCGTTCCTATGCCCCTGAGTGTAACAGCCATAGAAATAATAATATATAGTGTCTCTAATATTTATATGGTAACAGCTTATGTTTGCATAACTGGTAAATGGATACGCACGGCCATAGCTACATGATACATGTTAAGATTCAAGATGAAAAGTAAATATATATTATATGGTACTAGATATTATTTATTCGTTTAACAAAGTTACATGAGAATAAAATCTAATTTAAACTAGGACTATAGTTGCCGCGAGATGGCGCGTGCAAGTGTAATCAATAATCAAAGATGGCATCGCCCTTCTTGAGATACCCTAACTAGCTCCCTGGGGAGTTGCTGAAATCCTACAGGCTAAAATCCAAGTAAGTATATTCAGGCAGGCGATAATCACATGTGCACTGCAGGTTGGCAGGCAACAATTATGATTAGAATAGTGCCAGCCATGGGCTGCCCCGTGTTTTTGCCTACCCACGCGAGCATTCACTGATTCAGCCTTCAGGGTGCTATAGACAGACTGCTTTAGAAAATAATATGATTTAAGGAGCATTGTTGACCTTGTTCAACAAACATTTGCCTTTGCAATTAAACTGTGCAACTGTAGCCTCACATTCACACAGGTATGGGCTCTAATAATAGCAAAAGCAGTTCAGTCCTTTGTTAACACTCAACAAATCAATATTTAACCCTCCTCTTGAGGGTCAAAAGGTTATCCGACACTTACTCTTCGCATGTCAGCAGAAAATACATTTCATGGTCCTTTCAATAAAGCCATAAAGATGGTAGGTCACCGCTGAAACAAAAAAGTTTTCCAATCGCTCCGTCAGACCATGTCCTCAGAAAATGTCTAAAATCTGCCCTGTGCCCCATTGACCTTTGACCTGTGACCTCCAATTTCGCCACAGTGATGGCTTTTCCTACCATGATGCTATACACCGACTATCATGAGCATAGGTCGAGCCGTTTAGATTTGTGCCGCAATTCTGCATTTCCTCCCTATACCTCAAGTTAAGGAGGGAATGTTCCCCCTTCTTTTACACCTCTTGACCTTTGACCCCCAGCTTCAAAATCCCAACTCGTTTTAGGATTACCCCCCCACGTCCCGAATATCGTGACCGTACGTCGAGCCGTTTAGATTTGTGCCCAACTGTTGACGGACGCACGCACGGCCGGACGGATGCATGCTCATGCGATTCTACAAGCTGCATCTCACTATGTCAGATGAGCTAAAACATTACATTCTAGCTAATATACAATGAACTCACATTATGACAATTAATGACATACCTTTATTATATATTTTTTGTTTTTCATCATCTGTGAGTATGGAAACCATTTGCTGAAGTTTTTCATCTTCTTTCTTCTCCACCTCTAACTTGTATTTTTCTTTAGGAACCATGATCAAATTCAATTTGTGCGTGTTTTCCTGGGGACCAATTAAAGTTACCTAAATGAAGCTGCATCCATAGATAAAAATCTGAGATACTAAGAATAGCCTATACAGATGACAAAAATGTTGTTCGTTTGACAAAGGCTGCGTGATTTTCCCCAAATAGCTCTGCATTAATGAATAATATTTGAATAATCATTAAAATTGCACAGATTTCTCTACCTTGAAGTATTGCTTGACTTTGTTTTGTAAGAACTTTGGATCTTCCTTGACATGCTGCTTAAATTTTTCCACGTTTTTGGTGACCTTAAGTGCATCAAGCGCACTGCCATCATGATTCCACACTGCTGCAATGCTCTATCAATGAAAGACAACATGCTGAGATATGTGCGTAATGATCTGGATTTGCAATCAACATAAAAATGCACATGAATACATCAAACACAGTCGTAGTTGGCTTGCACAACAAGTGACCAGCATAGGATTGATCATAAGTTTATAACCACTATTTAATGAAATTCAGTTATCATTCAGGTGCATAATTAACATTTTTAATAGTAAGGGCAAAAAATTTAGATTCTGATAATAAAAATCATGAAGTAAATTAATTATTCATAATTAGGGATGTATTGGAAGTAATTATCACACTGTATATGTTTTACCACTGCAAGGCCCAGACCAAAGTTGGATGTTTGATGACGCAGTGATAGCTCAATGTTGTGCAAAAGTGCGTCTATTCTCTCCTGTGGAAAACCCTCCCTGTAATTAACACAAAACATGGTTTCTCAATTCTAAATGTTAAGTTGGAAAATGATGACCAGGAAGCTAATCCATTAATATGAATAACTAGCTAATTTATGAATGTCTATGATGGAAGTTACTCGCTAAACAGACTATTCAACTTTGCCAAAGCTAAAAGGCAGGCAGAAATGTAAACTGCCCCCATGCAGTAATATGATTATTATTAGAATATAATATCCCCATAAAGTATATGCTAATCCTGGATCAATGAAGCTTACTCGATGACTTTGTCAAAGGTCTCTCTTATGATGTCTTCCACTATTGGCACATCATCCTCTGCTATTCCTTGCAAACCAATAGAGAATGCACCTTCCTTTAAATCTCCACTATATCTGTTGATAAACAGAAACACATGCCCCAGTTATAAATTTACATAAATGTATGTTTCGTGTATGTGACCTGACATCAACAGATACAAATATATAAACTGAAAACATTGAAAAATGAAATTTGGTAAGAAAACGTTAAAAACACCCTTTACCTCAGTTCACTACTGTACACCTGAAGTTCCATTCATAAACACGTAAATAGAAAAGTGATTATTCTCACCCTTAATTTAATTACCACTTTACCGCAGGGAGTGCAATTCAATCAATCAAATGTAGTCTCGACTTGAAACACTTATAAGCAAAAGATGAGGTACCCTGTACTTGGTGAGAAGTCGGCACCGATGCCTGGCTCTATCAGTGACTGGTAGAAAGGTGAAGTTGGCCCACTTGTGAGAAGACTGCCTATGATGCTCAATGTACAGTCTTCAAATGTATCAGTGATACTGCAAATTCACCAATAGAAAACCTAGTACCTTTTATGGTACATAGCATTATAAATTAAGACTATATGATTACATAAATTAATATCATCCTATATAATATGCATGGCAATGTTGTTGGACATGTATTGTAGCTCAGGATCACAACAAAACAATGCCAAGTCACCTAAAATGCTTTACCCTGAAAGTAGGTAGCTAACAGATACTGTTGTCTGCCTGTCCGGGTTTGGTGCCATGTTATCAGGTGCGCAGTTAACCGTCACTGTCCTCTATGAAAGATCATAACCATCACACAATCAGTCATGTTATATCATTAATTATTGTCCAATACACCAGATCCATTGTATCTCTACTGCACTCAATGGATAGAAAGGATAGTGCAATATTACCTCAAGCACTTCTACTAATATTATTGTGGTACATTAATATGTGACAAGTACATTTCGTATATTTAACTATAAATTCTATAACAAAATCGACAAGAATGTTATAACAACAACAGTAAGGAAAGAACTCGTAGAAGTAACTCATAGTATCCAATCAGGTAAATAAATAAAAATAAATAAATAAATAAATACATATATATATATATATATATATATAACCTCCAAGTTGGAGTAAGGGCAGAGCACGAAGCTGTATCAATAGTGTACCATGCAACTTAGTGATAAACCTACAGGCTTGCTCCATCGCTGTTGATCAGGAACACTGGTGTCTGTGTTGACCCTGCTAAATCGACTCAGGACTAGTGAGTCAATCAACTCCAGATGCCTCTCCAGTGGCAGGTTGCCGTAAGTGTAGAACCTGTATGACAGAGAAGCTCCAAAGTTTCACTGGGTTTCCCATAGATTTTCCTCATTTACTTTGTCATACTCTATATTCGCTCTTCTATAAACAATGTTTCTACATTCCTGGTGACATGGTTGCATAAATAGAATGTAGCTAAATGCACATAATTAAAGACATGTAACAAACCTTGCATTGCTAGGATGGTAGTGGGCTGCATGAAATTGCCGCAGTTTTTCCCATGTGAGATCAGGAATGGACAGTGGTTGGCCTCCACTGACATGTGAGTACGTGTGACTAGGATAAAGACTGTTTTGTAGGTGCTGTGCATACACTTGTTCTGGACTTGCCTAATAATTAGAAATAATTCGATTAAAAGAAATGTCATTCAATCCAAACGAATTTCATGTACTTACTAATCCTTACTAATGTGTCACTAGTTATAAATAGCATATATTAAGAAAAACAAAAGATAAGCATAATGTTAATTAGGATATCCAAGGTTCCATGCTTACAAATGCTCCTTTCATCTCATTGAAGACAACTCCTTTAAAAACTATAGGTGAGCCATGGTCATTCACAACTTGATGCTCCAGTCTCCACCCTTCTTGCCTGCATTCAAATCAAATCATTCAAACATTTGCTTAAAGGGAGAGTTTACTCTAGGTTCTAGGGTTATTTTCAGCTAATTTAGGTTATAATTATGCTACATAAAAAGTTTCATGGTTCAATCACCATTAGAAATATTATTAAAAAATGTTTTAAAACTAACGACTACAGTTTGATTACAACGACGGTGGCGCCACTCAAAGTGCACGATCTGATAAGTTGCACAAAACCACTTTCCAGCCAAGGGCTACAGACGAGGGTGTTTCTTATTTATTCATTTAAAAACAAAAGAATTGTAATATCTTATAAACGACATATAGTTTCAGTTATAATATGGATAAATTTGCCCTAAAATGAATATCGTTCGGTTAAATAGCATTTAGGTATAAATATAATTGCACTTTTGTGATTAGCCCTCGGTCTGTAACCTGCAAAATAAATTGTCAAATACGCAACTTTTTCGGGGTGGCAGCACGGTCGCGGGTGTCATGGCGCCGTTCAAATATCGTAGCGTTGATGTGTAAATAATTATAACAATTAAATTAGGTATCTGGTAATAAATACATGTGGGTATAGACGATTTGTTACACAGTAAGTACAGTTGTATGCAGTAAAATCCTAGAGGCTACTGTCCCTTTAATATGATGTATCTAACTGATATATACATACTGACACGTAGATTTCATATTAATAGTACCATGACCTCAAGTGAACTTACATAAAGTCAAGTTCTCTGAGTTGTGGATAGAAGACTGCATCTAGGTAAACTGACAGCAAATTTTCGAAGTCCTGAGCATTCTGGGTTGAAAATGGGTACATGGTCCAATCACTAGCTAAAAATAATACACTGAATAGTTCAGAATTTCGATACATGTTTTCTGATGATCATTAACTACCTTACATTACTATTTAGAAGCTCACATGCTCTGTATTTTAGGCAAGATATTCTTTTTTGAATTTAACTAGAATAAATGTTAGGTAAATATAAAGTAATAATATAAGATAAAGTACAAAAGTTACCATGCGAGTAAATTTTTACAGACATTAGCAAGATATTTATTTAGGATATACTAGAACCTACCAGTAAATGCATTCATAAATGTTGAAAGAGACCGGGTCAACATTTTAAAGAAGGGATCTCTGCATGGAAACTTTTCAGACCCACATAATGTCGTGTGTTCTAAAATGTGGGGCACACCTGTGCTGTCTAGTGGAGTGGTTCTTAACCCAACACTGTAATACAACAATAAATGCATCAGACACCACCAAAATAGGGTGGATAATATTAGGAGTGTATAATATAGATCTATATTATACACTCCAGATAATATGATATCTTGCAAAAAGATTAATAATAATCAGAAAAGGGAAGACAAACAAACTTATCATTTTATAATTAGACAGACGAGACACTGCAAGAAAATTTGACATCACGTATTTAACATCTAGCATGTTTATAGAGCTTTTTAATATTTATTTAATAAATACAGATGCCAGCTAGATGTTTCATTAACAGCTGGAAGGTCAAGATGACTATTGAGCACAAGTATATAATAACATAATATTATTAAAATTATGTAAAATTATAGTAAAATTATTGTCTCTTCACTGTACTATAAATTATTACTCTCTATGAGGTATCCTGATACTATGGATTCAGATAAACAGTATTGAAGAGTGTGAACCACACAAGAAAATGAAAAGGTTAGATTAGTTTCACCTAAAAACATTGTTACGGTCTTCTCGGGCAATGTGAATGTGCTGTGCAGCTGTTCCCTCGTGCTCTAATTTCACAGCCGTTAAGTACAGTTCTGGAATAGGCTCAACCTGAAATAAGTACACATATCTCATTATCAATGTCACTTATGATTTATTTATTAATTGAATAGATGGTCAACATAGATATCAGTTCTAATCTCATCAATGTACGTTAATTGCCACACTGTTTAAACATAACACAAATATTACAAATACCATGTGAATACGTCTTTGCACGTTATTAATAGCTAATAATATCTATTAGTACGGCTTGAAACTAACCTAGCACCACGGCAAGCAGTTAGCTGTGCACAGGAGGTGAGTATGATCACGTGGGTCTTGGGAAGGGGGGTGGGCTCCCCAGAACAATTTTTATTTTAGACTATCTGAGATGCATTCCAAGTCTTGCTACTTTGGTAATGGGACCTAATTTAAATCAATATTAGGAAGCCTGCTGAAATCTAGTGATGAAATTTACATTTGTGCACACAAATTTTATACTTAAACCAGATGAAAACAGTTGCACAAAAAGTAGCTACGGATTCAAGTATTACCAACACTCGCCAACAAGGATGGTCTGCCAAGACATGCTACTAGCCGCTACAGATATCTAGTAACCTCGGGCAATTCGGCAAGCATTAGTTTCAAGCCCTGCTAGTAATAACTAGGTATAGGTATCATTAGCTCTTGACGTTATTTTAAACAAATGCATAAAAACACACAGAAATACAATACCTTCTCTACTCGATAACCATGAATACACTGTCCTGCTTCATACTTTTTTGCAGTTTGAACCGCACGAGAGCAAAAATGCCTATTGGCCCTGAAAGGAAATAATTTCAGTTAAATATAATTTTCATACTGCATTTCCATTTCATCCGGCATGGAATGAAGATCAAACCCAACCCCCAATTTCCATATTATATGAATTGTTGGATTATCCAACCAACTATAGGCCTTGGTTAGGTGGAATAATCCCGACTCAACTGTATTATATAATATTTCATTGGCATTATTTACTTGATTTTCTATTAAATGATCAATGTGCCATGAAACACCAATATATTTTATGCCTAGGCTACGGCCCAACAGGTGGAAATGGTCCAATGGCCATATAGTTATCCAATGCATTCTGGTTTTGTAGTGTTTAAAGTCTCACACGGTTTAATCACTTTCTTCAACAATGACTGTAATTTTGAAAAACTAAATTATTAAAAATAGTAGGATGATGTTTTCATGTGGGGAAGTATATTTAATTTGTAAACAGTCAGAAATATAATTTTATCGGCTTCAAAATTGCCAAGTGGAGAATAGTTATCTTTCCAACATTCATTTCCATTGACAAACGATATGGTTTTATTTACTGCCCTGACTCGAATTTGATCAAATTTCAGTTTTTCACATAGAATGGTTATTTGAAGGTATGACAAAATGCATAAAGTAAAAATGGTTTTAAACTAAATCAAAAGCACTGAGCCAACCTAATGTTACCCAAACTGAGACATCAAGAAGCACAATGACACCAAAATCATTTAAAAATTCCAATTGGAGACTGGCAATATTTGTAATCACCATTTCTGTTTACCAATATGGTTTATGATTGGCCCTAAGTTTTGTCAAAAATCAGGTTCTGAAACTACAACGCCACTTAAATAAATCGCAAAATGTGTGCTGTCACAATGGCATATTATTAATATATATAGTTTTTAGGTTTTAGGTTATAATAATTTAAGATACACAGTACTATGTTTGCGTACAGACGACTTAACAGATATAGTAACTAAACAATTGGAGGAATAAGGTCCATGTAGCAAACACTACACACCACTAATTAAGCAGTTATAAGCAGAGTATGCCTATATAGTATTACTAGCTGGGCTACCCGGCGATGCCCGGGATAAAGGAGAAAAGAGCTAGAATTTAGTCTGCCATCACGGCTGTACATCCATCCCTCTCCCTCCCTTTCCCTTTTTCCCCCTCTCCCTCCCCCCTCCCTTTTTCTCTTTTTTCCCCTTATTTTCCCCTTATTACATACATAAATCTACTGCATAAATGGGGAAATCTGTCCAAACTCGTTCGAAAATGTACCGCTCATTCGCAGGGGGCGCCACCGTCCAATGAGATTTTATGCATTGGATTGAATTAATTATATTTCTTGTATGCCCCTCTCGGGTCATGGAAGAAAGACATAATTACATAATAAACATAGGAATCATATGAGAACATGAGAATTTGATAACATTTGACAACGAATTAAAGAAATGGTAAGATTTAATAAATAACTATAGCACCCGGTGTGACATGACACAATAGATAGTTAAGGTACATATACCCTCGTTTTTTGTGTTTTTGTTTTTTTTGCATATTTTGTTGGCTTAATTTGCAAATTTTTTTGGCTTAAAATGGTCGTCGCGTCATGCTGATTCAGAATATATATGGTGTTGGGGGAGACCTCATACGGGACTTGAGAAGATAGACGGACAGAGTGACAGACAGATTCCCCCATTTACGTAGTAGATTGGAAACAAGCAAATTCAGTATTTGCTGAATAGAGGTGACAACGATCCATGAGCATTGAGATGAAGCTTGCTTGTTTACCAACTGAAGTATCAGTTAGTAAAGATTCCTAGTGTCTACTTGGTTAATTCAAAGTAGATAAATGAATGAATATCCAGATCGGTATTACGGGAATGTACTGTGCTCACTATAGGCAGAATACTTACAGAAACTTATTGGTTATTACAGTGCAAAAATGCTCCAGAGTTCAACTCGTGCTGCTCATCTAACAACCACTGCCATTGCTATGCTCTGCCCAGCACCGAGGAAACATTTATATTTAAGTTCAGGCCACAATTAAAAAATCTTTGTTTGTCCTCACCCGACCTAGGCTGAAAAGTTTCGGTAGGTAGGTAGGCTTTTTTTTTTAGGTGGGTCTTTTACAAATTCAGCATGGTGTCTACATGCTCGGGTGTGCTTGTGTGGAGATACCTTTTACGTTGAACGTTTGTTTTGCTTGGTACATAAAATTATAATGTATTGCTTACATATTTATAAAATGTAAAGCGATACAATTTGTAAAAAAAATAATGGAAAAGATCAATGAAAATGTTTGAGTCAGCCCCTTTTCGGCGGGTCGGTCGGGTGAGGGCAAACAAACAATACTTTTATTATGGCCCCATCATGAAAAATTTTCCTACAAGCATACTGAAGGCAAGTAAGCCTAATTGCATTGTGTAACATCCTGCACACAGCCTACCTAATCAACTATGCCAGCTGAACTTCCATCTGCACTGAAGTTCCTGCAGAAATGGAACTTCCATCGGAACTTCCATTGGAAGGGCTTTCATTGAAGAGTGAAATAGTTCAGACAAATATATGTGTTAACTGAGTATTTATATTCAATAACTTTACACCTATGCACACATTGAAGAGAGATTTCGTCCTCATTTCTTGCGGCCAACAGCTTAGATTGCATCCCCTAAAATCACATCTGGTGGCATGATGGTGGGAAACTCTCTGTAACTCATGCATAGGTGTACATGAAGTTATTTGATAAAAATGTGTAGTTAATCTATTTTACCCCACTAGGTTTTTCTAACATTAACCCCGTGCCACTTCTTCAGGAAACTGAGTTTGTTGGAGGTCAACAAAATTAGGAGTACTAAATTAGGTAGGTTATGTGCAGGATATAACACACGACCCACTACCTGGCAAGAATAAAGCGTAATTCTTCGTTGAGAAAATCATGCAAGAGTCAGCACACTGCCAGCGCTACATAATATTAATAATATATTTAACGGTGAACTATAGTGTCATACTTGAAGTTGTACCATTGGCATTGCTTTAGTGTCTGCAGAGACTGAAACTAATTATTAAGGCCGTGGCTACGCGACCGGTTCTGGACGAGGAGCCGCTAGGCTACGCGTCCGGACATCCATCTCACACAGTGATCTTGTGACACGTACACGCATGATTGCGCAACGGGATGCTCTGCTGATTGCCGAGTGTGTGTGTGTGTGTGTGCGTGAGAGAGAGAAAGAGAGGGAATGTGTATGTGTGTGTGTATGCATGAGTGAGAGAGAGAGCGAGCTAGAGGTGTGTGTGTGTGTGTGTGTGCACGTGTGTGTGTGTGTATGGTGGTGTGTGTGTGTAAGAGAAAGAGAAGAGAGAGAGAGAGAGAGAGAGAGAGAGAGAGAGAGAGAAGAGAGAGAGAGAGAGACAGACAGAGACAGAGACAGAGACAGAGACAGAGACAGAGACAGGAGACAGAGACAGAGACAGAGACAGAGACAGAGACAGAGAGAAGAGAGAGAGAGAGAGAAGACGAGAGAGAGAGAGAGAGAGAGAGAGAGCTAGAAGTGTGTGGTGTGTGTGTGTGTGGTGTGTGTGTGTTGTGTGTGTGTGTGTGAGAGAGAGAGAGAGAGAGAGCTTGGAGACTGTGAATCTCCCGTGGCTCGGATGACCACTCAAAATGGCGGTGCCTGCGTTATTATCCATGTAATCGTGGGCTACGCAAAAAACTATCCCGATCCAGATCCAGAGCTAGAGGTGTGTGTGTGTGTGAGAGAGAGAAAGAGAAGAGAGAGGAGAGAGAGCTGTGCGCATGTGTGTGTGAAAGAGAGAGAGAGAGCGCGAGAAAGGACGGATGAAAGGATAGACAGCAGCAGTGCATATCTTGTATATTTACGTCAACCAGCAGAGTGTCCTGCTGCGCAATCATGCGTGTACGCACCAGTGTTGTAGTCGAGTCGCGCACCCCCCGAGTCCGAGTCCGAGTCCCGAGTCCGCACCCCCGAGTCCGAGTCCGAGTCCGAGTCCGCGCCACCCGAGTCCGAGTCCACACACCCGAGTCCGAGTCCGAGTCCGAGTCGAGTCCAGTTTGATAAAAAAAGGGGCACAGACCGACAAGGCCACTCACTTCTATGTATGTGTTTGTTCAAAAATGGGGGGGGGGTTTCCTGTCCCCGGATCTGTCACTTGTTGTCATAAATAAGAAAAGTACATAAAACTTGCATAAGTCGACACTTTTGGGACGCACATATTTGTGTCGACTTAGGAAAATAACTACCCGGTATTTCCATCGCGATTAGCATGCGGTTTTTCTTGGTGCGAAAACGCATGCTAGTATAGCCGCGCGCGCACGTCTAGCGGCATTGTGCATTATGCATTGTTTACGCTACGAACATTTCTATTGTATGTAGAATGTAGATTAGTGGCAATCATCCGACTTGGCTTATGAGATTGATCTGGGAAAAAAGCGCAACCGTGCATCGATAGACATTCGAAAGTGTATAGTCAGCCGAAAACACAGAGACAAGAGTCATACGAAACGTGTCAAAGTAACGGATCCATTTCTGTTTTATGCGAATGACGCGGCTTGTTGAACCAAGATAGAGAGTGCTAGTACTTAAGTACCTACCACCTAGTACCTACTACCTTCAAAGTGGTAGAGTCATATAGTAGTACCTACTAGTACTCGCACATAGGTTTCATGACATCATTTCACACCTTTCTGCCTTATAATTCACATTTGTAATACAAAATGCACAATTTTCACAATGTCAGTGCAAGGCAAAACATCGAATCTTTATTACGGGTTCGTGTAAAGTTAAAACAATACCTGTCAGTGTCTAGCCGTTAACCCAGCGTGCAACCCAGGTGCACTGAAAGGTCACATGTCAACGAGCATCTATGACTACTATGATTATGTAGTTGGCCTCGAGCGCGGTCCTCGACCCATTGTCCTCGAGTCCGGAAGGCTCGCAGTCCGAGTCCGAGTCCGAGTCATTGCACTCCGAGGCCGAGACCGAGACCGAGACGCAAGGAAAACGGTCCTCGAGACCGGCCGAGCCAACGGATCACAGCGGTCTCGAGACCTCAACACTGGTACGCACGTCGCAAGATCACTGTGTGAGTGGAGCTAGCCGATGCTGAGCCTGGAGCAGGCGACCGGTTCCAGACGCCGAGTTTTTAAATCGTAAGATGCACACTGAAGGATTGATAAATTATTCGTGCTTTAATACCCTGCCCGCTAAACCCTAATCAGTCACCGATCCTACGCACCATCAGTTACCGTCCTATCCTTCAGTCGCCATCCTACGATTTAAAAACTCGCGTTCCGGATGCGTAACCACTGCGAATTATTAATATTATTGACCATTGTATTGCCATGTTACATGTATAACGTATTGTATATTATCAATGACATACATGTTAATTACTAATACTGTAATACATGATTGATTGTCCTATCCTTCAGTCGCCATCCTACGATTTAAAAACTCGCGTTCCGGACGCGTAACCACTGCGAATTATTAATATTATTGACCATAGTAATAGTATTGCCATGTTACATGTATAACGTATTGTATGTCAATGACATACATGTTAATTACTACTACTGTAATACATGATTGATTTTGTAATTATATCTACTAGTGCTACTACTACTAGTAGTAGTAGTATAGGTATTACTTATTACTTAGCTCTAGTACTATAGGCCCGCGGCGATCGCGTGCCAATGAGGCTATATAGCACATATCTGCCACAGATGTAATCTAAGTCAATGCGTACAACTTGATGTGACCAAAAAATTTAATCCCCAAATACGTTAAATGTACGGTGCGCTTTTTAACACTTATCTATAATCATCCTCTTGATCAATCTCACCTATCTTTTGAACACTTCCACAACTTTACAGCCAGGTAACTTTATGCTGTTATTCCTCAATAGTCTTAGGCACTGAAGAGTCACGCGTGCACACATAAGCAGAGCAACCGCATTTGAAAAATCAAAATAAAAAAAACACAGTAGCTGCTAGACTTTAGGCAATAAACAGCATTAAATCCTGGTGTAAAGTTGTGGAAGCGTTCAAAAAAGATTGGTGAGATGTCCATGTTGACAGATAAGTGTTTAGAAATAAGCCCGCATCATTTTACGTTTGGGGATAAATTTTTGGTCGAGCATCAGTTGGACCATCTTGCTTAGATTACATCTATGGCAGAATGTGCTATAGCCCTGCGGAGACGAATCGCGCACGGCTATAAGTTACTCACGAGCTATACTCAATTACTGATACTAATTTATATAATTACAGAACTTCAGAAGTAACGACTAACGTCAGTAACTGTAGTGTAAGTTGTAACGTCTAACGTAACGACTAAACGAGTCCCTTGCAAGATAATTTTAGCGACAAGTTTCAAGACTTACGAACAGCCTTTACGATACAGACGGCCTAGCATCTTCCAATTTTGAAGTATCATCGACATGTTCATTACTTAAGAATAAAATGACGCAATAATACAATAAAGTTCATCAATAACAAGCCCTAACACATGGGCGCAACCATTGCCATTGCAAATACAGCGCCACCTGGCCGCAATTTGTGAAGATAGAAAAGTGAAAGACTGGAAAAAAACACTGCTCTATATATCTTATATTTTGTTAGAAAGATTATTTGCTAATTTTATTTGTCATTATAAGCATTCGTTTTATTCAAAATGTTACGTGCCAATTTTACATCTCGATCTTGTCCTCAAAAATGTCATATGATATGATTAGTGTTTATAATTTTACAATATTGTCATTGACAATGGGCCATTGTATAATTTACTCAAATTACTGTAATGAGGATCAGTGCGGAAATCTCTCGCTATACTAGACATGGCACTAAATTGTTTTTCTTTTTCGCAAGTACATTTACTATGTATTACACAGAATTTCAGCAAAATGTAGACCGTCGTGGACAGGATTCGAACCTGTGCGGGCATAGCCCATTTGATTTCGAGTCAAACGCCTTAACCACTCGGCCACCACGACAGACGCAGAAAGTGAATATATTACAGTTTACTTCAATGAGATAAGTAACATATGATTCTTATTTATATATTTATCTATCTTCGGTTAATCTGGTGAGTGACAATAGTATCTTGCTTACAAATTTTCAATACCTAAAGCAATCTTTAGAGAAAAACTCAAAACAAGAATCAGGTTAGACGTGCCGTGGGCGTGGATAGTAGCCTAGTACGGAGTAGATAGGAACTACTTCGTTTCTATCATTCTCTTCATAGTGTAAATCGATAGGAGTTAGGAGTAAAGGAGATAGGTACCCGTCTATTACATGGCGTAGCGGTGGCGTTAGGATCGGTTCTGAGAACTCCTTGCTTTTCTCGTGATTGTTGTTATTCTTCATTTTAGAAAAGCGACTGCAAAATTTTATACGTATGATAGCCAAAACAATGAATAAGTTTAACGTCCCGTGAGAAAGTTGCCATTCTTGTGTGATACGAATCCAATATTTCTATATATTATATAAATATAGCTCTACGGTCTACCGACAAATAAGGCTTGAAACTAGCCTACAATCTACATGATGTAGGGCCTATTCAGTTCAAGAAAAAGTGTAAACAAGTCGATTTCACGGCACAGGCAGTGAAAACATATTGCGGGGTCCCAAACTATCCTTGATCCAATTTCCAAAACATGTAGCCACCCATCTATAATTTATCTCGTGCTTCATTTTTTGGCAGAACCTTAGTCAGTAGTATTCGTGTTTCTTGTCGCTGCAGCTTGCACGTTCAGACGCTGTGTTCTCTGATGCGGGTTTCTAGGTGCGTGCGACGGTGTGAGAGCCTGTGGTGGATGCTGGTGGCAGTCATAAAATGAGATGAACATGTTATTGACTTGAGTGGCTTGTATCGTTTCCGTGTAACACAGCCAACTAAGCGTAGGTGTGGAATAGAGGACGTACATACTGTAGAGTGCATGTGGCAGTTGAACACGTGCAATGGTATGTCTACCATTGAGTCATTGACCACAGGCATATCTTAGCCACACATTTGTATTGTGCTACAGTACGTGACATCAACTAGGCATACACCATGGCAAAAAGTGTTCTTACAACTTACATATTGTGGCTAATTGGCGGCTGGTTTGGCCTTCACCATTTATATCTTGGACGTGACAGACATGCATTTGTTTGGTGGTGCACGATGGGCGGTGTTTTTGGAATGGGATGGCTTCGAGATCTATCAAGGATACCAGAATATGTTGATGATGCAAATGAAAGACCTGAATATGTCACATATTTAGTTAGCAAGTTTCGTTCATATGAAAAACCGCCATTTAATGTGACACGATTCGCTGGTCAGCTGATATTAGGATCATTGTTCGGCTACTTGACATTGCTAGCGCTACCGGAAAATCTCTTGAAACATAGTTTTTACCGTGCATTGATAGTGTTCGTGCCTTATGGAGTTGCACTAGGTAAGTAAGAAGTCACAGTTTAATAATGCATGAGGCATGTCTTAGATAACACCAATATAGAAAATGTTGGGTCCACTACCTTTTCATCTAATCCAATAAACTTTGTAACATATGGCACTCACCCTTCAAGAACAGGCAGTGCCATTTTACATGTTCCCTGTCTTTCTGCCGTGTAAAATGACCACATACCTATCTAACCAGCAGATGGGTGGAAATGTTAATGGGTACACCCCTCATTTCAACAAAAATTAAAATAAGCTCCCATCCAGTTTTCTGATTGTAACATGCATAACGTGATTTTATTACTGAATTGGATAGATTTCATGCTCAATTTGTTGGGCACTTATTGTCATGGGGTATTACTTGACCGATTGCCAGCTTATGGTATATTTATAGCATATTCACACCTAGCTCTAGTACTATAGCCCGCGTACAGTTGCCGCAGGCCCTGCGGCAACTGTACGCGGGCTATAGTAATAGAGCTAATTCACACCTTGCTAAAGTGCCACGGATAAGACATATTTCAAACTATATTTTATTTTCAACTAAGACTATATAGACTTCAACTAAGACTAAGACTAAGACTCAACTAGGACTATATTTTCAAACACATGATTTTATGTATTATGTATCTTTAATATTGCAATAGTACTACTGTCAGGCTGTTTAGGCTTGCTAAAGAAATGTTGTGAATGTAGAAATATGGAAAATTAGTTTAAAGTGTATTTATTAGCTCATCTGACATAGTCAGGTGCAGCTTGTAGAATTGCATGATTGTCCGTCCGTCCGTCCGGCCGTCCGTGCGTTCGTGCGTCCGTCAACAGTTGGGCACAAATCTTAACCGCTCGACGTACGGTCACGATATTTGGGACGTGGAGAGGGGGGGAGGGGGGAGGGGGGTAATCCGAAAACTAGTTGGGATGTCGAAGCTGGGGATCAAAGGTCAAAGGTCAAGAGGTGTAAAAGAAGGGGGAACATTCCCTCCTTAACTTAAGGTATAGGGAGGAAATGCAGAATTGCGGCACAAATCTAAACGGCTTGACCTAGGCTCGTGATAGTCTGTGTATAGCATCATGGTAGGAAATGCCATCACTGAGCCGGAATTGGAGGTCACAGGTCAAAGGTCAATGGGGTACAGGGCAGATTTTAGACATTTTCTGAGGACATGGTCTAACGGAGCGATTGAAAAACATTTTTGTTTCAGCGGTGACCTACCATTTTTCATGGCTTTATTGAAAGTACCATGAAATGTACTTTCCGCTGACATGCGAAGAGTAAGTGTCGGATAACCTTTTGACCCTCAAGAGGAGGGTTAAACATTGATTTGTTGACTGTTAACAAAGGACTGAACTGCTTTTGCTATTATTAGAGCCCATACCTGTGTGAATGTGAGGCTACAGTTGCACAGTTTAATTGCAAAGGCAAATGTTTGTTGAACAAGGTTTACGCTCCTTAATCATATTTTTTCTAAAGCAGTCTGTCTATAGCACCCTGAAGGCTGAATCAGTGAATGCTCGTGTGGGTAGGGAAAAACAGGAGGGCAGCCCATGGCTGGCACGCTTCTAATCATAATTGTTGCCTGCCAACCTGCAATGCACATGTGTCTGCAATGCATAGGGATTAGGTGGGTGCAAAAGTGTAGCTGATATATTTGTTCCAATTGGCTACGAAAGTCAAACAAGAATAAAGAAGACTTATGTATAAGACGTCTTGCTATGCACAAATGAATTTATCAGCAGAACACCAGACACCAGATGAGCCCTGTCGCACTGCGGCACTGCGGCACTTGTTCTTGGAGTTATCATTCTGACTGATCATCAGAATGATTACTCCAAGATTTATTCAACATAAACAAGCTCCTACTTTGGATATATGAGTGAGGATGTTTTTTTGCTTTGAACTACAAACTACCCGATTCTACTGTTGTAATTTCTATTTGGAAATAAAATAATTGCTTTTTATCAAGTACAGGGTTCTCCCTATGCCTTTAATGCATGGGGTCTGACATGCCTTCAAAGCTATAAGGCTAATTTGGGACAACACAACAAAGTCAGGCTGTGATTTCACAGCTTGATGTATACGTCTCCAAACTGAGCAAGTTTAGCTAAATATTGGGGCCAATTATGGGATGTGTAATTGACTCCGATCGGTTCAACTCCCTCCCAATTCCTTCCCCATCTATCTATAAATGACATGTCTTCTGAAATTCCTGGGAAGAACTCCGAAGTGAGAAAACTGTGAAGTTGATTTCAATAAATGTTGTGATAATTTTTTATGTATAAGTAAACATATCTGTCTTTTTAGGTGTTCATTGTGTTGGGAATATAGGCAGGGAATCTGGAAACGTTTGGTTTTCCCTCATCGGAGCATATATAACATTTCCACTTTACCGGGATATAAAGTATGTGTGAATAGAATATTATATATCTGAAGCCCGGCACACACGTGAGTAATTTTACTCAAGTAAAATTATGCATGCGTCAAAATACTCACGCAAAATATTTTCAGCGTTCGCCGCACACGTGAGTAAAATTACTCAAGGTATAAGTGCTAATGTAGATCACGTGACTGTGCACAGCCAATACTGGGCACAGTCATCTTTAAAATGATTTAAATGCATGAGCTGTGAGCACCAGTGTTGAGTAAATTTACGCAGCTAGCGCGCACACGTTGAGTATTTTGACGCATGGGTCAAAAATGATCAAACATGTTTGATATTGAGTTTCTTGATGCATGCGTCAGAAAACTCAACGAAAATGCGGCGCACACGTGAGTATTTTGATGCATGCATCATTTTACTTGAGTAAAATTACTCATGTGTGCGCGGGCTTAAGGCAATAGTTGGAAACTGCAGCATATGTAGCAGAATGTGCTGTTTACTTTGATGTGTGTTTTGGGCAGGGGGTGTGGCATTTTGGGCAGATTACGTTCAATGGTTATACTACTGCTAGCGGTTCTGATGTCACCTGTAAAATACATCACCTCCTTATGACTGTTAGAACCTTTCGCTACACCATAATTTTAGATTCCAAATGGCCATTGGCTGAACTGTTCCCCTGTTCGGTCTTCATTGGTATGGGAGCTCAGAAGCTTTCATACAGCGTTGAGCTGGCTAAGCAAATAGAAGCTTTTAAAATGTAAAGGTTTAATGTTAAGGAAATTGTACATATTTAGTAATGATGTGTTTATGTGAAAAACTAATGATGACATCCCTACCTAGTTTATGTGTAAGTTGTATGTGGTGTAAAAGTGTATAATGAATTGTTTATTAATCTAAGCCATTATTGGGTAAACAAACGCATGAGACTGAACCAATTGTGATTTTCAGCAAAAACCACAATGTGATCTCTCTATCAGCTGTAGTCTCTACAGTATTATTCAATTGGTTGGGAAAAGAATGGAGACGCAAGCCAAGAAGAAAATCCAGTTTATGTAAAAGGTACGTCCTAAGCTGCAGTAGCATCAAACTTGAATTATAAGCAAGTATAATTGCAAATTGTATGATTAAAGTTGGAGTTTGTGATACTACAAATAACCACATTCACTATGGCTGTATCAACAACTATTTTGATTACGTCTGCTGTTCCCCCCAACTTGGTTCATTTTCGATACATTGTAAGATAATTTCATTAAAAAACAGTCATTTTATAATTCACGTCTTGATTCGGATTTTTCTTTTAAATATAAAAGTTTTGACCATGCTATTCTGTTGTGTTTAATAAAACCCCTTGTATTTCTATGCAGATTTTGTGTGCTTTCCTTCTGTGGTTTGCTCTATCTGTCCATGTGGGGTTCATTTCTATTTTGGAATACAAGCATTACGTACCATGATGGTGAAACTGTCAAGGTACATGAAGCACTGAAGCATTTCTTCAAGTAAGTGGTCCTGATGATTTTTTTTACCTAGTAAGCATGTGTGCCTATTAATGCATCCCCAACCGTCAATTCGTAAACAATTACTACCATCTGCACGTTTAGTAAACCTCTTGATGAGTAATTATTTCCCCTGTAGTCTTTGTACATCAAGTGAGCTGTGACAATATTTCGTAATCTGACATTAATTTACAGCTCACCATTGTGGAACAATATGAAGCATTCTGTGAAGGATATGCTTTCCGACGGATGGAAACATGGTTGGTGGGCAGCTGGTGACAGGTTCACAGACATGCTGGATCCTTTAGGAGAAATTCATGCATACGAGGTTAGTTAGTTTGATTAAAGTAATGAACCCTTTAATATTTGCAGTAACATCCTACCACTAGTGTAAGTGACAGAATTTGGCTTATGCAGTATGAATATATATCCTATACCATCCATTATGCGAGGTTGTGTGATTTAGTTTGGGTGATTCTCTCTGTTTGATGTCTGCTGCATCCGTGAGTTTTGTATCCAAGGAGAGCTCTGTGTACACGTCTACCCTGAGTGCCTGTTTTTTTGCACGTATTATAGATAACTAGATGCGACCAAGTGTGAATGTGTGGTTTTGCAGGTGCTTGGTTTGGAGAGGGGTGCTAGTGAGATGGACGTCACTTCGAGTTACCGCAAACTTGCGAAGCAGTGGCATCCAGACAGACACAAGGAGCCTGAGGCTAAGCAAGCTGCCACTCAGAAGTTCATGGAGATCCAGGAAGCATACGAAACACTGTCAAAGATCAAAATTCGAAGAGCAAAACGCAACAAAGTCAAAGACGATACATATGATGTACATAATATGCATAGATATGCATGAGGTGACAGGTTTGAAAATATTAATTTGCACGTAATCGGCTCCAAAGTTCTTACTGACAGTTCCATTTGTAGATTAAAATAAGTGAAAGTACTAGCCAAATCAATGGGCACATGGCATCAATTAAAAATATGAAGTACCTGATATAAGATAAACCATTACAATTATATCAAGTTAGCATCCAACAAAAGAATATCCATACTCTGTAAATATGAGTTTAAGGCGTTTGTGGGGTATTAGGCCTATAGATCTGCCCCCACCTTTACATGAAATTGCCAAAACTGAGGAAACTGCTTGTAGTGTGCACACTGTTGTGGCATTTGTATAAAGCATTGTTAACAGCCCTGGAACTTGTATTAACAGTCCATGAAATTTCGTTATTCTTCTACAGGATGCATACTTGGGTGTTATTGAACTGTGAACTTCCAGTATATACATGAACTTCCATATATATGTTTTGGACACGCAGTTGGAATTATGCAATCTCAACTAGACGTGCTTTCGGATTGATTTCATAGTACGGACTATATGCTGTAAGAGGAGCTGTAAATTCACAATTACTTTTTTCCACTTTCCCTGTTGTTAGCTTTCAACCTTCAAAGGCCAGATTCTCAATAAATTATGGCACGGTTTGATTATTTGGTTGTAAAAGGTAAAGTGAGTTTTTGGATCCAGTGAATCAAAGATGTTTGAAATTAAAAGAATATGAAAATAATATGAAAATAACACAAAAGCCCTTACTAGAGTAAGGCTAATTTTAGCATGGGGTTGGCTTGTTTAACCAACTTCTGGTATCTCATTGACATGTACATTACCTTTGTTTGTCAAAGTTACATAGGACATACAAAGGTAGTGTACACACTTATAGCACTATTTCCACACTGTGTATGCACATTGCTCGTGATTGCAGTGAATAGAAACCCATACTAGGATATTTTATGCCACTTTTTCCAACCATGTGGTAGTCACGAAGTAGTGGGGTTTTGGGTTCAATGTATACACCCCCAAGTGGTTTAATATGTGGCTTTTATGAACCTTTTATATATTCTTTACCATTTATTCCAACTTCACAAGGCACTTTTCTATCATAACATGTTTTTATCACATTAATGAGCTATGGTTGTTCACTAAAGATCCTCATACTGGTTTGAACCATGACCTAGGCGCATTCCTTTCTAGTCTGATGGTGAATGACATTATCCAATAAAATGTTTTATTCATAATAACATGAAAGCACACATTTATTACTTTTTCACTTTGTGCAGAATTGTGAATACGGTACACAATCTTTTTTCAAATTAAAATTCTGAGCTTTAAAACATGGTTACTATTAATGTATTCTGGCCACATCTTCCTAATAAGTTCATCACTACTGTACACATAAGATACTATGCAAAAGAACCTTTCAATTTCTACAGAGGAAGACGTTTACTTCACTTCTGCATACATGAGTGCATGCACCCCATATGTAATATTCTGTATAAACAAAAACAAACTGCAATTATATGAACTAGCAGTAGCATGAATTTATTATTAATAGCAGAATTTGACTATTGTTATTTACAGCCATACCGTTATAAAAGCCCATTATTTTATATGTCATAGTTTTGTATCTACACTACTAAGCGGCTTATATGCTACACAATGCATAGTATAGGAGTACAATCTTTTAAATATTGAAACCGTTATCCTTGTAACAACCCACCAGACCCGAGTAAACCTAATAATAAAGTATACTCTTACCATTGCAAATGAAAGATAATTAAAATTTGTACTGCTTGTAAACCGATACATTTCCATCGGAGAATTTCTATCTCCATATATGACGTAATTTAACTTCAATTTGAGATTTTTAAATAACCACAACAACAATTTACAGTATTTTGACTAGTATAAAACACCTCGGCAAGCATTAACAGCATACAATCTTAATTCTCACCACTGATTCCCATTGCACATTTGGTAACCTGGTAACTGTAGTTCTTGCAATGCAAAATAACTACACATACTACTATATTTATTAAACATTTGCTCGAACAGCAGCAGAATTGGCAATGACTGTTTATCATGTTTACATGATTTTTCTATCAAATACGCACGCAGAAAACCACCCTGCATATAAATACACACTTCTATGGATAAGTACACTTTGTTAAATGGTGACCGTAAAATCTTAACATGTCAATTAACTGCAATGGATTTTTTTTGCATCGATCCATTATTAGCCTACCCAGAAGAAATGTTCACGCATATTATTTTACTATCATCTTGAAGTATGCCAAACGTGATATTTATAGTATAAGACCTAATTGTATAATATAAGAAAGTGCAGGTGTATCAAGCTGTCTAATGCTAGGGGCACACGAGCGTATTTTATCGCCCGATCGCGGCGATTAAAATCGCCAGCGAATTTAATCGCCCGATCACGAAGGGGCACACGTAGCGAATTTAATCGCCCGATCACGAAGGGGCACACGTAGCGAATTTAATCGCCCGATCACGAAGGGGCACACATAGCGAATTTAATCGCCCGATTTTAACATCACATGATATCAACAACACGTCCGATTGGTTTAGAAAAATCGATCGGGCGACAAAATACGCCGGACACGGGCACACGAGCGAATTTGCCAGCGTAAATAATCGCCCGAAAATATCTAACATTTTGGATACGGGCGATTCGTGCGGGCGATTAAAATCGGCGTCGACGTGAACGGGCACACGGGCGAATTTTTCGAGCGATTTTAAAATTCGCGGCGATCGGGCGATAAAAATCACTCGTGTGCCCCTACCTTAATAGAACCTGACTATTTTTGCTACATGCATGAAATGCTATTTGTCCAAGTTTCAGGTTGTTAGTGAGAGTTTTGGCAACATTTTTGTGAAAAGTCAAAGATACAATGTATCTGTAAGGAATGAGCGAAACACAGGCATGTACTTAGAATATAGAATACCCCTCCACAATGTTCTCAAACTTCATGGGAAGAGTGAGTAGATAATTTTCTGCCATCATCAGCGGTGGGCTCATGAACTGCACTCCCAATATTTGTAGGAATAGCAGTTAGATCTACACGAGATAATACTACAAAACAACAGAATTACCAATTTCAGTATAACATGTAAATTCAAGTCCTGGACAATGGTGGATGCAGCATGTCAATCAACAGGTGAAAAAGGTGTGCATACATAGGGTTCTCTACAGGCCGTAAACGTATGTTGGATCCGATATGCCTTTGAAACCTAAGCTAGTTTGCGACATCCCATTAATCCTCCAACATGCCTTGGCTACAAAAGCCCAACTTGCCTCTTTTGACAATCTCAACACAGTCATGATGTGTTTTCACAGCTTGATGCATACGTTTCCGAACTGATAGTTTACCTGTATATTGGGGCAGCTTATGACATACAAAGTTTAATTTGTACAACCCCTCCCGGGACCACCCCATTCGCCCATAAATTCCTGGAGAGAACCCTGACTCATGCATAATTGTCTACACACATCTACACTCAGTTCTATAATTGACAGATCTTCACTCGTAAATGTGTATGTAAATACAGAGCGCATACCTCATTTGGTTATATGCAGCCTCTAGATGTTGAAGCCAAAACACATATTATACGATAGCTAGCACTTCTTTTGCTGGATACAGATTGGACAAATCTAGATGGGAGCGGTGAGCATGTTATTTACGTTTCACACTCCCCTATGCATGTTTGTGGGTAATTTGCCGTACTCACTGCAGGCAAAAACGCATGTAACTGACAAACTGATTAACGGAAATGGGACAGAACTTAATTGAGCTTTTCATTTTACGGTCTCCACAACCAGATCAATAACAACCATTCCAACAAGTACTGTCAATAATACATCATTTCGGCCAGATCATTTGGCACACTCTACATGTGGGCCCTAAAATGGCTCACGTCGGTTAGCCAACGCATTTGCAGATTGTCTACGAAATGGTTGGCCCATGGAACTGCCTACAGCATCCAAGGTTATCACAAGTGAAAATAATATCTATATCATATAATGTGCGTGTCAGAATATAGCAATACCAGTATCAGAAACATGCGACATGCACGTGTGTGATGTTCATAAATAAATGTACATTTACTGTTAAAACTGGCGCAGTAAACACCAAGTGAGACACGAGATACTTATGTTGCATTTTCCTCTTCCAAAAACCACTGATGATTTGTTTTACAAATAAGCGCAATGTGAGCACCTAACGGAACGTTGTGAATTACCATTGCATATATTACACTTCTATCTAACACGAATGAACTAGCATATTTGATACCAATATCAATGACTAAAACAATGAATAAGTTAAAGGCGTGATAACCCAATAAGCACCTAGGTTAACTTACGTGTAGTTTATACATTTCTAGTAGCTATGCTTGCAGGCACCATTTTCATTTTATTTGGGTAAATCTGCATTAAGCAATGCATTGCGAAAAAAGTTTACAATGAAAATTCCTTGGTAAACCCAAAACACGATTCAAGTTCAGTACAAATTGAAATGGGGAATCACACTCCATAGTGATAGCCTAGGCCTCCTGTGTAAACAATTTTTGATTAAATTGCATATTGGACAATTTTGGATCAAGGAAGTTTAGCAGGCAAAGTGTTCTATTTCAGAGAATCACAGTTTAAAATAGAGTATGGTCACAAATCATTACAATAAATTCGAATAATTATTAAAAACCACATATAAGATCATGAGATGGCACCGGAAAACATTGAAAAAAAAACTTTTTCAGCGTATCACCAATTTTCGTTTTCTTGGTCAAAAAAATTCATTACGCTTCGTTATTCATCACAAAAAGAGTTTGATTAATAGAATCACTGCAAGTAGTACTTCGCAGTGCCACAGTCACGGCTGTTTTCACATGATAAAAGTTTCCTCACAGTCTGAACCTTTCAATACTCGGTACTTCAATGATAACGAAAAACCTTTAGTCGTGAACCTTATGCCATATGCATAATACATCGTTGGAAATTTGGAGTTATACCAAATGCTAATATACTAGATGTCAACAGGATTCCTGTTTCCCAATACTAAAGGTACTTTAAACAAAATTGATGAATGTTCCCAAGTATAACTTTAAGCAAACTCGGCAGATTTCACTCTTCAGATACTTTGGTTATCTATAGTCATGAGATATGAAGAAGAATGTGATAACATATCAACACGTTGCTGTAAATGGCTGGTAGGTTAAAAGCAGTTACATTTGAGAGCAACAGTGCAAGTCTTAATCACAAACATTCTCCTTAAACCTTCTTGGTTAAGGTGTCAGTCCCACCACCATTATACCAGATGTTCCATGTGTTTGTTTATATCTGTGCATTAGAATACTCTGTTCACAGGTAGGAGAATCTCGTTTAAAATAGCTGCTACTGTGTGAGGCTTGCCTGCCTCAAGATTTCAGCAGTAAATAACGTCTTAATGATACTGTGTACTGCTGAAGATATCACACAACCTGTGAATACTGGCATGGCTCATACTTCCAGATCACTAGCTAACACGATGCATGCAAATACCAGTAAGTGCGAGATTATCTCAATATTCGGCGAGAGAAAACACAGGCTTTAGCCCTCGTGAACACCGGATCACAGACTTGTGCGTAGCACCTCAAAGCAGGTACCCTCCCTTTCTCGCGCCAGGCAGTACGCTCAGGCACCCGACTGGCGAAATGGATGAAGCGGGTGGTGGTACAAGTGGAGCCGGCGCGATCCGCATCAGTGGGTCCAACGGCAGAGACATCGAGACAGCGGGAAAGGACGGCGTGAGTCCGGTGACGCAGGAGGTACTCGTCCTAAACTCCGACGGGGTGGTTGTGATGGGAACCAGGTTGTCGCCCGTGCGAATGTCCTTCATTCCGACTGGCACCAGCCTGCGAACGCAGCGAAAATCGTTCCAAGAAAGAGCTGTGCTTGTACTGCACCTCTAGAAACAACAGCAACGCTCAGGCGGGAAGTGCTATAGAGATTTTGCATGCAAGAACTACCACACATGGGTCTGACACCTGCACAGCAACTCCACAAGGGAGCTGAGAACAGCTGGTGCATCTGGAAAGGTCTCAACAGACGTCGTACCCAGGTTAGCAGATCTAAAGACAACATGGCAAAGTGGGGATATACCAGTTACTTCACTACCTGCGACTGCGGTGAAAGGCAGACAATGCAACATCTTCTTATCTGCCCACAACTCCAAGCTCCATGCACTGAAGATACCTCACAGAGGCCAACAAATGTTCAGTTAGCTGCGCAAAGCACTGGATGAACATGATATGACTTTGGTATGGATGGACACGATAGGAAAGCAAAGTGAAAATCGTTCGCGAGAGAGGACCACACGTCCGTGTATGTAATGTTGCGTGAAGACCGAGGTAAGACAGGAGATCGATTCTAATGTGTTAATGCAATTCAATCAGGTAAGGTGGGTGTTACCTGTCGGTCAGTGTTGCATCTGTGATGGCTGCTGCAGGAGTGGGGCGGACGGAGACCTGTGAAGATGATAGTGACGACACTGTCCAGGTCGTCATGCCCCCAGGTCCACTAGGTGGTGGCAAGTACGGCAGCTTGACTCCACTGCATGATAGCACACTGTAGGGTTAAAACATCATGATATATGACCCTATCTACTAACAGGAAGATATAATTGATTAAATAATGCAGATGGCAAGATCAAAGTATATTCTAACAGCCATTTCCGTTTACCATTACCTTTCCACACAACTATTTGTCCTGCAATGCACTCTGACTTATTCCTATACTCCGACCCAGCACACCAAATCATTTCCCTCACAAGCCCACATGTACAAGCACTCCCCTAAAATTCGGATTCAGAAACTGTACTACCACTTGCCCACCATCCTTTAGCCACAACCTACAATCATTCTAGTCTTCCCCCAGATAAAAACCACAATAACGATAAAACCTAGGGGACGCTGCCCACACATAACGGCAATCAGTACACGACGGTGTGAGCCAGGCTAGCGACAAACTCATCGCCGCTCTTCGCGACGTGAACGAGGCAACGTACGTTGATGTGGCGCTGGCGGGTTGCTGCGCTGGTTGCTGCGCTGGTTGCTGCGGTCGCTGCAGCGGCATCAGGTCCGCAAATTGAGCTGCAAACTGGGCTGCATACTGCGGGTACTGGCGCGAGATCTCATCCATCTCGTTGCCAGCTATTAGTTGCTCTAGCGTAGCCGTACCGAAATCTACGTGGAAACGTTTCGCATTTGATACAGGCCAGTCTAGTACGGTGAACAATAACATCAAGAACGACTCTGGAGCTATAATGTGCGAAGCCTAATCATGACAATTTCCACATCATCCAAATCGGATGCCAAATATGTATATTTGTGAATATATAAAATCAACGTACAGGGCAACTCAAGCAATCTACAAAGCATTATATTGCGTATAATCGTTAATATAAGTCAGGTATGCTTAAGGATCAAAGAGAAGATTTATATGATCTGGCTGTCATAAAAGACTTCGAGGCAATAAAGAAAGGCTAGCAACTAGGTGGAGACAAACAGCCTTTATTAATTTATTGTGAAATATTTATTAAAAATATTATTTATTATGATTTTTCAGTTATATTTATTATTTTTAATCTTTACATTAATTTAACTAGACAAAGACAAAGATCGACTCACTCACTGAACGTTGATACAAAATCATTAATGATGCCAGGAGTTTATATGGTAATAATGGATGGAAAAAAATGTAATAGTAGGTAGAATCAATGTGTTGAGTATTTTGCCCAGAATCATACGAGAGGAGACATTCTAGTAGTTCTACAGGTTCATTCTAGAGGTCATCCAATGGAAGTATGACAGGCTGAAATAGAGTAATTGCAGTGAAGCTGATATTAACAACAAAATAGTCCCTTTCAACATCAACTATTTTTCTAACTATTCATACCTCGCTCTTTTAGTAATCGGGATAAACTTGCAGTCATGCTATAAGTACTGGTGCCATAGCAACGCGGACTGTCTGCCACACACCCTCTCTGAGATTGTAGGCCCACACTGAAATAAATATGTAAGAATGCTATATTTACTCTATAGACCATAATAATAAATCTGAAACAAATACAATATGTGCCCAGCCTAATTTTGTACATGGATATTTACAAACAGGATTTAAGAATTAGAACCCAGAGACAAATCAAACTGAGCTTAAACCAATTAAGTTCTGAACATTTGACTTCAGGATGAAATTTCGGAACCAACTGCATTCATAATGCGTGTACACTACTAATAGGGACAAATGGACTGACGTAATAGCGATGTTTCATGTTTAGTATGTCATGTCATGTAATAGCGATGCACGCACGCACGCACGCACACACTCATGCACGCACGTGTACGTGCACACGCACGCACGCATGCACGCACGTGTACGTGCACACGCACGCACGCATGTCTACGTGCACATGCATGCACGCACGCACGCACGTGTACCTGCACACACACGCACGTACGCACGAACGCACACATGCACACACATGTACCTGCACACGCACACACGCACGCATGCACGCACGCACGAACGTGTACCTGCACACGAACGCAGGCACGTACGCACGCACGCATGCACGCAGGTGAACGTGCACACGCACGCAGGCACGTACGCACGCACGCAGGTGAACGTGCACACGCACGCACGCAGGTGAACGTGCACACGCACGCAGGCACGCACGTGTACGTTCGCACGCACGCACGCATGCACGAACGCACGTGTAAGTGCACAAGCACGCACGCACGCACGAACGCACGTGTACGTATACACGCATGCACACACGTGTACTTGCACACGCACGCACGCACACACGTGTACTTGCACACGCACGCACGCACGCACGCACGCACGTGTACGTACACACGCACACATGCATGCACGTGTACGCACGCACGCACTTATACGTGCACACGCACACACGCACGCACGCACACACGCACGCATGCACGGACGTTTACATACACATGCACGCATGCATGAATGCACGCAGGTGTACGTGCACACGCACGCACGCACGCACGCACGTCTACGTGCACATGCATGCACGACTAGGCGATTTCACCGGCGATTTAATCGCCCGATTTAATCGCCTAGTGTGTCCACTCGACTCGCGCGATAGAATCGGGCGATTTAGTTGCCCGATTTAGTCGCCCGATTTAATCGCCTAGTGTGTCCAGCCCTTAAGCCTGGATAGATAGACAATGCAGCACTGCATAAACGGCAGGTCAAATGATCACCTTACTGATACTTTCTCGGGGGTGGCAGATACACTTTGCAAACCAGAACTGTAATGGAACAAGCCAAACGATTAGAACAAAACCAGACGAGAGTTCAGCCAAAGCAACACCGAAGTGTGGTTGTAATTTAATGCATTCACATGCAGAATGAACTGCACAACCACGGCGTGCAAACATGGCATGCAAAAATGTGCATAAACTTGTGGTATATAAAGGTAATAATTGAGAGTTAAAACTTGAAATTAATTACTAATTCAGGCTTACATAATTCCTTCACAGGTATGACCCTCACATATTCATGCAATTACCTATTCCAAAACGATGTTGACATTGACATTCACTTATGAGTAGAAATTCATGACCGATTCCCAGTTTTTCCCTTGCCATGCGCATGGCATAAGAGCAGACAGCAAAGCATATAGTTAATCAAATTCATTCAACTCATGATTAAGATTAGCCGATGGGACTTAAATAGCTATCTGAATGACACTGCACACATTTTTTTTCTAAATTAATCATGTAAGCTCTTGCAGTGCTTTCACCGTTAGAAAAATAACCACAGACGTTTGCCTACCGTTCGTTCACCTTGCACTGAAAACAAATGTGTTTTTCATGAGCTGGTATGAAATAGCTCAGTGTATTGAGCTTATTATTGTTATAACGATTTGTGAGGATAAATTACACAACTAACGTCAAGAATCACATTTTCGAGTATTTGCATAGAGTCCTCAGTGGAGCATTGCTGTTCCACACAAGCCATCAAAACATTAACCAAACTAAAATATAACTTCCTCAAAATAACAAACCCCCCAAAGTAATGGTTGGAATGATCAATAACTTGAGGCGGCTATAGGAATATTTATTTATCTGGCACCCTCTGGGTATGAGTGCCATGAGCTAGATGATTCCACTATATAGAGCTAATTCAATATGAGCACGTTTATTAATCCAGATATTATAGTGAGGAGAGTCAATGTCCAGTACTGTGTGATGTGAGGTACCTTATTTTAAAATTAATTATCTGTGAAAACCTGCTATATTACAACAAAGTTAAGCATGTTAGAGTATTAGTTCTATACCTGTTATAGTTAGTATTATTTTAAGTGAGTATCATTAGTCAGATATTACGGTGAGTTAGAGGGTAGATAAACACAGTTATTGCCATTCGTCATGTTACTAGTCATGTGTCATGTGTCGCTGACAGGTGAGTGTGTACCTGTAGGCGTGTGATGATGAGTTCGTTAGAGAGCTGGTAGTAGCAAGCTGGCATGTATTGTAGAAAGGCAGGTCTATTCGACTGATCACATCTCTACTGAACAAGCAACAAAAGGTAAATAAAGCCAGCTGAAAAGAAGCTAAAAAAGCCCCAAGTCTCAAATACATGTATTGGAAGATATATGGGATCTGTATTGGATCATCTGCTATATTAATTAAAATCTGGTTATGAAGCCAACAACCATTTAGTCCATAGATAGTGAGTGGCATTACAGTGAGCTATAGAAGATTAACGCTGCTGATATCAAGGTGAGCAATTATAGGAATAGCGAAAATGTAACATAACATCAGATGCGATGTTACTCGATCCTGATATATAAACAAGTGCTGCAGTGCGACAGGGCTCATCTGGTGTCTGGTGTTCTGCTGATAAATTCATTTGTGCATAGCAAGACGTCTTATACATAAGTCTTCTTTATTCTTGTTTGACTTTCGTAGCCAATTGGAACAAATATATCAGCTACACTTTCGCACGCACCTAATCTCTATGCATTGCAGGTTGGACTAAGCAAACAAATTATGATTAGAAAAGGCGTGCCAGCCATGGCTGCCCCGTGTTTTGCATACCCACGCGAAGATTCACTGAATTCACCTTCAGGGTACTAATGACAGACTGCTTTAGAAAATAATATGATTTAAGGAGCGTAAACGCTTGTTCCAACAAACATTTGACTTTGCCAATTAAAACTGTGCAACTGTAGCCTCCCAATTCACCACAGGTATGGGCTCTAATAATAGCAACAAAAGCAGTTCATCCTTTTGTTTAAGCAGTCAACAAATCAATGTTTAACGCCTCCTCTTTGAGGGTCAAAAAGTTATCCGAACTTTACTCTTCGCATGTCAGCGGAAGTACATTCATGGTCCTTTCAATAAAGCCATGAAAATGGTAGGTCACCGCTGAACAAAAAAGTTTTCCACCGCTCCGTCCGACCATGTCCGCAGAAAATGTCTAAAATCTGCCCTGTGCCCCATTGACCTTTGACCTGTGACCTCCAATTTCGGCACAGTGATGGCTTTTCCTACCATGATGCTATACACCGACTATCACGAGCCTAGGTCGAGCCGTTTAGATTTGTGCCGCAATTCTGCATTTCCTCCCTATACCTTAAGTTAAGGAGGGAATGTTCCCCCTTCTTTTACACCTCTTGACCTTTGACCCCCAGCTTCGACATACCAACTCGTTTCCGGATTACCCCCCCACGTCCCGAATATCGTGACCGTACGTCAAACGGTTAAGATTTGTGCCCAACTGTTGACGCACAGACGGACGCACGGCCGGACGGACGCACGGCCGCAGAGACGCACGGCCGGACGGACGGACGGACGGACGCACGCTCATGCGATTCTACAAGCTGCATCTGACTATGTCAGATGAGCTAAATATTCGCAGCATATTATCTAACAGCTACAATTTTAGTTTCCAAGAGACCCTCACCCAAATTAATTAAAAGATAATTAGGCCTACTTTAAAACCTCCATGACTACAAACCTAAATATAGCTGAGCATTATGAAAGTTTTCCATCACATGATATACTGAACAAACAACGTAAATGCTGTCCTGGGTGAATGTGCTATGTAAATACACAAAAGTGATCAGGCAAAAACAAACTACTACGTGCAATATGAAGTGAAAACTTAAAGAAATAAGCAAAACAAAAGTAACATCTATTATAAATTTTATACCAAGAAACAAAGTGTACTGCTATGCAAATCCTACTGAAAGATACTGAAGGGCAATCTCACAGAGCTTAAACCAGTTTGGGAAGACACTTTACATTAAATAGAAATTACTATAAATGGTACCATATATTTTGGCATATATAAACCTTGCTAATATAGTTCTTCCTTACCTTTGCACTAGTTCATCCTCACTACCTGTCCTTGGTTTGTTTGTTACATAGGATTCTGTACCAATAAGGACTCACTAACAAGATATGTGACCGAGGCTTACACACGACCTGTATTCTGACACCCAACGTACCTTGATGTAACCTGAGTATTGTCACCAGGATGCATTATGTTAGAATTGATGAATGTGTACGTTGAACCCGTTTCCTGGAACCGGTAGGGCATTACCACAGAAGGATCATCTGAAATAGTACAGGAACAGCATTACAAAAAGTCCTAGCATAACAGTATTTCCAAACAAACCTAAATGTGCAATCATGAATAACAAATCATTGTTTGAATGTTATGTAAAATGCCTTTTTACACTAAGGTTTTTATAGATGAAAGTGTCAATGACACTGTAGCTCACCACGAAAAAGGACACAAATGAGTGAGTGAGAAGAAGTCAGTTTTAATTGAGCAACCATCGACGTACATTATAGAAACGAAGAGTATATATGGGAGAACTCCCATTATGATTATACTCTTGATAATTATATGTGTAATATTTTATATGAAAATAAATGTTTGAGATGTGAAAGTCTGAGATGTGGGCGAGTGATGGCGTTACACCTAAATGATCGCCATTTAACGTTTTTATAATATTCAGATTTAGGCACTGCCTAAAAGCGGAGCTCCCGATGTGTAACGTGTAAGATTGAGAGGATACGCTTATTCCACGTAGCTGCTATATACCAGGTGACAATGGTGTTTCCCTGCCCATAACACAACTTTTGTCAAAGGTTAATTGGTTGTAGGGAAGTGTTTACTTCGTATGAGTTTTTCTAGGCGGTAGCACACGGTTGCCATCTGTATATCGCAATAATAATTTATAAACCAAAATGAATCACAATTTGTGACGGTAGATGGCGCTATACCCGCTTTGACGTTTCTTAGCAATGGCGTTCTAAATAAATAGGTTATGCTGCGTTACGACATGTTTTGTAAAACTTTACTCTAATATAGACGTTTTATCGGCG